CTTTTTCGTCCATGTTGCTTTAAAAGATGAGGAAATCGTCTAACTTTTCTTTTCCATACGACCGAAGTGCGAATTAGTCATCCAAATATCGCATAATCACTGTTAGATGCTAAGATAAAGTTTTGAACTTTTTTATGTATACATTAGCCAACAGGTTAGAATTGTGAGCCCATTAGTAGGCGAATGTTTGCTCATAGGTGCGGTCGTTGAACGTGAAATAGTTAGTTCTTATTGTTAGGTTGAATAAACGAGTTAGCAACTCTTAGGATTCGTTCCGTCTCCAGGATGTCATCTTCTCTTTTCTCGATTCTTAGTAGTGTCGTGAGTTCTTTTTCTCATGAGATATTGGTGTACATGGATTGTATATCGAAGCTCATCAACAGTTAGTTTCCCTCCAAACTGGTGCTTCTGATTCTTTGGCAAAATTCGTATGAATTCTTAACTGTGTCCGATAATCTGTTATTCATCTTCTTTACATTAAGGCAGATTAATTTCTTCACTTTATGTGTTGATCTGTGTTTGCTGTAGACTACCACTCTCAATGGTTCTTCTTCTTTATGGGTTTTCGGCAAAGTATATGCTACTGGAGCTCTTGCAACCCTTATGAGTAAATTCATTGTCAATTTACCTATTTAAAGTTCTTATTCACTTCCTTTAGCATTTATTGCAGTGCCCCTTTGATTTTGGCTGTTGGGCCTTTTGTTAGCAGTCGACAAGTTGTCTTCTCGAGAATATATTTTTTTAAATATAATGGCATTTGTAGAAAGCATTGAAATTATGCATCAGAATAGATTAAATATCACTCATTTTAATGTAATAAATTATCTCCCATAATCCATTAAATTTTAAGTTTATTCACTTAGTGCGAACTCATCATCATATATTTTAATTATCATTTATTATTCCATTTAGATGCTTTCTCTTGGGGCTGATGTTAGCCCTGAACACAAGCGTCAAACGCCTCGGATGCATAGACTAACTATTAGGCATTATGGTCCCATTAAGGCTCTTTGGGATTGGTTGATTCTTCTCATGGTACTTTATACAGCTGTGACCACGCCGTATATGGCAGCCTTCGTTCTTTATGATGCTAAAAAGAAGAAGCACGTCCAGGTGAGCTCCCATTGTTATCATACATTTGTATCATATAACGGAATATTTGTCTAAAATCTTATCCTGCCAAACTTGGTGATTTGCGATGTACTTTTTCAGGATAATTTTGCTGATAACTCCTTGTGAAGGGCCTTCCATCTTTTTTTTTCAATTTATACGCAGCCGGAGACCTCTTTGAGCCGCTTCAGCTTTTCTTCCTCATCATCATCGAACGGAAATGTCTTGCAGATCCCGAATGTTATCGTTGACGTCACTTTTATTATAGACATACTTGTCAACTTTCGGACAACATATGTAAACAAGAATGACGAACTCGTTTCGCATCCTGGTCGTATTGCCATCCATTACTTTAAAGGATGGTTTTTAATTGATGTAGTTGCGGCCATTCCATTCGATCTTTTACTTCTCGGGGCGGAAACAGACGAGGTCAATAACTATTATTTTCTTATCTAAATATAGCATTTATTTTTTGATTATTTATTTTAACATTTATTATCAGTTATTATTTTTGAATCTTAATAATAACCCATTGCTTTGGTACACTTAATTTTTTATCTATTTGGAATTGAGCAAGAAAATTGTAAAACAATCAAGTTTATTCTTATAGAAGTGGGTTGACCTCGTTGTCGCAACTTGGTCTTGTTTTCAGGGAGACCATGTAGAACGCACC